TGTGCTACTTATAGATAGAAGAGAATTCAATGAGGAGACAGCAAATAAAGAACACTTCATGTAAATCCTAAGACTAATACAAATTTATATAGATTGCTGATTATTTTCTATACCTCCATTTTTAGCCATCAAGTGGAACACAATAGTTATCTCATCTTGGCACGCTGAGTGTAATCACTGGATATTTGAAAGAAAAAGTGTGGAGTTTTCTCACTGTCAGGTAGCAGAGTTCAATACCACTACTGGAATTCTGACATCTCTGACATGAATGTTCCTTTCATTCATGCATCTGTATAACTCACAAATGTCCCTCTTGATGCTATTTACATTAACAATAAAACAGATGGTAATCTAATACAATAGCAAATGGACTATGGCAAAGATAACAGTAGCATATACTAATGCAGCCCAAATTTGACACAGAGGCATCTAGTAACCTTTAACACAGACATCATAAATATGTTCTCTCTTTTTTTCATGAAAAAAAGATCTGAAGGATAGGTGTATACATGGGAATATAAAGAATGTGACCAAATGTTGGGGTACAGTAGAGTGGCAGGACATTAACCTGGCTTGGGTGATGCCCTGGGTTCTTGGCTGTGCTGCTTAGCACCACACAGGGCAAGAAAAAAAATTGAAATCCAAAACAAAACTCAGATGTGATAAATCATGTGATATTAAGACACCAAAGGTGGTAGTGGACCAACTCTGGCAGGACAGACCACCCAGAGTCTGGCCACATCTCAGTCTGCCCACCACCCTCTGCTTGAGGTGAGTATGAGTTCTACTCTGACTCCCCCCACCCCCTCCTTGTAACTTCCTGGGTCTGCTCCAAATATAGTGGACCCGCCTGAGCAGGACAAACCACCCTGAGTCTGGCCACACCTCAGTCCCTCAGTCTTGCTCCCCCTGCCTCTGCCCACCACCCTCCACCCTCCACTTGAGTCTTGGGCCCCCTACACCCTCTGCTCAAGTGAAGAGAACACCAAGAGAGGCCGAACCCACACTGAAGTCTTGCCCAGCCTATGCCCACCAGAAGACTAGAAGAAAGGGGGAAACCCCACCTGCACAGACTTGAAGGAGTGGGAAGATGACAGTATAAGGACACACTCAATAACAGAAAAACCAATATGACACCACCAGAGTCTAGACTCTACACCAGCAAGACCTAAACATCGCAACACAGATGAAGCAGAGGAGAAGGACATCAAAAACAACACTATGAAGATGATAGAAACCATCAAAGAGGAAATGAGAAAATCCCTTAAAGATATGGATGAAAAAACAAACCAAAAAATTCAAGTGAGAAACAAATCTCTTAAACAATGCAAAGAAAGATAGAAAGAAAGAAAGAAAAGAAAAGAAAAAACCAATCAAACAAGTGAAGGAAACAATTCAAACAGTTCAAGGTTTGAGAGCTGAAATAGACACAATAAAGAAAACACTGAGTGAGGGAATGCTGGAAGTAGAAAACCTGTGTAAATGATAAGGAACTACAGGTGTAAGTAGAAAAAAAGAGATGGAAGAAAGAATCTCAGGTGTAGTAGACTCACTAGAGGAAATACAGTCATTGACCAAAGGAAATCTCAAGTCTAACAAATCCCTAACACAAAATATGCAGGAAATATGGGACACTGTTAAAAGGCCAAACCTAAGAATAATAGGTATAGAAGAAAGTGAAGAAATACAGTTCAAAGGTACAGAAAACATATTCAACTACATCATAGAAGAAAACTTCCCCCAACCTAAAGAATGATATACCCATGAAAGGACAAGAAGCTTACAGAACACCAAATAGAGTGGACCACAAAAAGAATTCCACTCACCACATAATAATCAAAACACCAAACATACAGAATAAAGAAAGAATATTAAGAGCAGCAAAGGAAAAAGGCCAGGTAACATATAAAGGCAGACTTATCAGAATTACACCTGACTTCTCCATGGAAACTCTGAAAGTCAGAAAGTCCTGGATAGATAGTCTACAAACACTAAGAGACCATGTATGCCAGCCCAGACAACTATACCCAGAAAAGCTTTCAATCACTATAGACGGAGAAAACAAGGTATTCCATGACAAAACCAGATTTAAAAAATACATATCCCTACAGAAATTACTGGAAGGAAAACTCCAACCTAAGGAAGTAACTACACTCATGAATACATAGGCAATAGATAATCCCACCTTACTAAAAGCCAAAAAAAAGGTGGGTAAATCCACACACAATATACCAACAACAACAAATCAAAAGCAAACAAGAATTAACACTCAGTGATCCTTAATTTCCCTCAATAGCAATCCTTTTAACAAGCCTATAAAAAGACATAGGCTAACAGAATGGATACGAAGACAGAATCCTTTCTTCTGATTCATACAATAAACACACCTCAACTTCAAAGACAGACGTTACCTCAGAGTAAAAGGTTGGGAAAATATTTTCCAATCAAATGGATCCAAGAAGCAAGCAGGTGTAGCTATCCTAATATTCAACAAATTAGACTTCACACTAAAATCAATCAAAAGAGATAAATAAGGTCATTTAATATTCATCACAGGAAAAAGCCATCAGGATAAAGTCTCAATTATGAACATCTATGCTCAAATACAAAGGCAATCACCTTAACAAAAGAAACATTATTGAAACTCAAATCACACATAAAACCTCACACACGTACAGTGGGAGACATCAACACTCCACTTTCACCACTAGACAGGATGACCAGACAGAAACATAACAAAGAAACAAAGGAACTAACAGAAGTTATTACCTAATTGGGTTTAACAGACATCTATAGAACATTCCATCCAAACACAAAAGAATATACCTTCTTCTCAGTGCCACATGGAACCTTCTCTAAAATTGACCACATACTCGGCAACATAGCAAATCTAAACAGATAACTTATCAGACCACCATGGTTTAAAGTTAACATTCAACAACAAATCAAATTGCAGAAATCCTACAAACTCATGGAAATTGAACAATGTACAATTGCACCATTCCTAAGTAAAGAAAGAAATAAAAAACTTCCTAGAATTCAATGAGAATGAAGACACAACATGCCCAAACTTATGGAACATTTTGAAAGCAGTGCTAAGAGGAAAGTTGATAGCACTAAGTGCCAAAACTGGAGAAAAAAACTGGAGAATAGTCACACCGGAGAATTAACAGCACAACTGAAAGCTCTAGAACAAAAAGAAACAAACTTACCCCAGATAAGTAGATGCCAGGAAATAACCAAATTGAGGGCTGAAATCAATGAAGTAGAAAAAAGAAAACAATACAAAGAATCAAACAAAGAGTTTGTTCTTCCAGAAAATCAACAAGATAGACAAACCTTTATCCAAACTAACCAAAAAGCAGAGAGAGAACATGCAAATTAACAAAATCAGAAATGAAAAGGGGACATAACAACGAACTCTGAGGGAATCCAGAGAATCTTCAGGTCATAGTTTGAAAACCTATACTCCACAAAATTGGAAAATTTAAAGGAAATGGACAACTATCTGGATAGATCTCCCTGATAAAAATTAAATCAAGAACTGATAAACAATTTAAATAGATATATAACCCCTAATGAAATAGGTGCAGTTATCAAAAATCTACCAACCCCCCCCAAAAAAAAAACCAAGGCCAGGTGGCATTAGTGGAGAATTCTACCATAAATCCAAAGAACAGCTAATACCAATATTCCTCAATGTTCCAGGTTCTTGCTGTTACAAACAAAACAATGCTGCTATGAACATAGTTGAACAGATGTCCTTGTTGCATGAATGTGGATCATTTGGGTATATGCCTAAGAGTGGAATTGCCTGGTCCTATGGTAGACTGATTCCAATTTTCCTGAGGAACAATACTGATCTCCAAAATGGCTGTATAAGTTTGCACTCCCACCAGCAGTGGAGGAGTGTAGGGAGCCAGCATTGGTTTAAAGAGAAATCTAGCACTAGGGAAATGTGCATAGATCCCCAAGGATGACCCCCAACTAAGAAACTAGGCAGCAGTGGAGAGGCTGCCTTTGATGCCCTTACCCTATAATGAGATTGATGACTATCTTACTTGCCATTCTATAGACTTCAGTGGCTGATGGAAGCAGAAGCAGGCACCCACAGCTGAGCACTGAGCCGTTCTCCTGGGATCCAGTTGTAGAGATAGAGGAGGGATGAGCTAAGGAGCCAAGGCCATGCAGGAGAAACCCACAGAAACAGTTCACCTGACCTAGTGAGAGCAGAGGGACCCCAGTCATAAAGGTGGGGAACCAGAACTGTACAGAACTAAGCCCTCAGTGTGGGTGCCAGGTAGGAAGCCTTCCCAGTCTATGGGACCTCTAACAACGGAACCAGTACTTATCCCTAGTGCACAAACATACTTTGGGAGCCTATTCCCTATGGAGGGATATTATTGCAGCCCAGATACACAAAAGAGGGCCTAGACCCTCCCCCAAACAAAGTGACAGACTTTGATGATCTCGAGTGGAAGGCCTCACTATCCTTGGGGAGTGATGTTTGGGGGGATCAGTGGAGGGCATAGAAGGAAGTGGGTCGAGGAAAGGGGAGGATTGACATGGAAAATAAGATTGTTTCTAAAAAAATAAAAAAGACACTTAAGAGTGTTTCCTGATCTTGCTGAGAGCAAGACCCGGGGTTTAGTTCTCAGCATCCACGATGGATGACCCACAACCACCTGTAACCCAGCTCCTGGGGCTCCGACTTTGTCCTCCACAAGCACTCACATTTACAAATGGAGAGAGACAGAAGGGGAAGGAGAAAGGAGAGCAGGAGGGAGAGAAGATGAGACAAAGGTTTTAAGAAACAATTATAAAAATATTTAAACAGACACACAATTTTAGTTCCCCAGCGATTTTATTTCAAGATGAAAATTTCATATTTGGAAAGGTTACACGGCTGTCAGGAGAAATCACTAACAATTTCTTGTAGTAATTGACATGATGTTGTTCTTGTGTGGCTCTAGTTAGTATGGAATGAAATCAGTTCTCTCCTACATAGGATGTTTCTGTCTGTGGTGTTTTTCCTGTCTGCGGTGTTTAGTCATTATTGCTTTCGTAATTGCACCAATAATAAGTGAAACCAAGATAAGAGCCATACGAGTAATTAAAACAATTAGCACCTTGTTCATACTCATATGTATTTTGGTCCGACTTGTTTTCTCAAAGGCTGTAGGACCACTGTCTATACTACCACCTGCTCCTCTCTGTTCACAGTCTGGTGGTTGCCAACCTTTCGTGCAGTGACAATTGCCTCTGTTGTTACACACCCCTCTGAAATTACAGGAGCTGATGTTGCATTTAAAATTTAAGTTTTGATGAAAAACACAGGCTTGTGCTTTACAGTATTTCCCTGGGCCACAGGTTGCACCATCCACTACAAGCCCCATTTCTGGAATTTCTGTCCCATGGTGCACATCATACCCAAAGCATTGTTCTTCTTTAATATCTTGAACCTTTATGTGATGAAATGTAGTGTGCTCACCTCCACCAGGAATATGAATGACACCATCACAATGCAGCAGTCCACAAAAAATGTCTTTCTTTTCACATGCATAGGGTTTTCTTCCTGATGGTAGTAACCTTATCCCACAGTTTCCAAATGGGTCACCCTTGCTATTTAATTGTTTATAGCATGCTGGTGAAGCATCCTTTACGTCGTATCCAAAAAGAGCTTGACACTGCAAATCACGATCACTGCAGTTTCCTGACATGCAAACTGCTAGTGGTGAGCAGGGAGTTCCATCCTGGATGTAAACATTTTCTGGGCAATTCTCTGAGCTTCCATCACAGTATTCTGCCAGATCACAAATACCAAGTTTGTCTCTGCATATAGTTCCAGCCTGTGCAAATCCACAGTTACTACAGCAAACTCCCAAATTGCAAGTACTTCCCTTAGTAAAGTGACAATTGGTTGTACAACACTTGTTATAGGCACACTCTTTCAAAGAGCCACAGTCACACTCCTCATTCTCGTCCAGCTTCTTATCTCCACAACGAGGAACTACATATTTAAAGTTGGCATACGGAATTCGTGAATCACTCAAGCAACTGTCCCATCCATGGATCCAATCATGTATCTTAGCTTGAGAACAATTGCTCATCATATCAAGAAGAGCAGGAATTTCATTCATGACACAACGGCTTCTTCTGAAACAAACACAGCCCACTGTATCATGCCCTAGACCCAGACTGTGACCTACTACATGAGAAAAAAAAGCTGCAGTAAGAAATGCATGTCGGTGTCCCAAATATACATATACTGCTGACCAGTTGGGGTTGCATATTGTATTCATGTGGGCAGCGTAATCCTGTCCTCCAACTAAGTTTCCTGTGAAAATAGCTGCAACGGAGTGTGGTATACTTCGGAAAAATTGCATTTTATAATAGCCAAATGCTTCCGCATATCCTATACTATCATTGAACCTATCCCGAATACGTACTATGTCTGGGTCCTCGTCCCAAAGGCATACAGCACGCACCATGACACCCAATCCAGATAGTTTATAAATGCTATCTGCTATGTTGTTCACAATCAATATCAACTCAAGAGTGTCAGTAAAGTTATTGAGTAGTGCGGTTAATGAAGCGCTCGATACGTACTGCACTCGTATTAATTTCACATGCACACGCCACAGATACACTGGGGCTGCCCTGGGACTTCCAGCAAGCTTCGCCTCTTCAAGGGATTCCTCTGCCTCTGCCACATTCTCTTCATTTCTACATTTTTTAAACTTATATGACCTTTCTATCACAAGCAGAGAAATGACATGCTCAAATTTGGAAGAAGATGCCAATGGTTTGATTTCATAAGTGAAGTCATCCACCTGCAGCATGCCATTCAGACCTCCATTGCAGGTGTCTAGCGTAGCTAGGGACCCAGGGACCCCTTCCAGGTAGCTGTAGAAGTAACAGTCTCGGGGAACAAATGGGTAGTCTTCCTGCTCGGCTCCTTGGTCATTAGTAGTGTATACAGGAAAGTTTTCAGGAATCATGTTCTTCTTGAGTTTCATGTGGACCACGTGCCTTTGTCCCCTGAAGCGCATGCTGTAGGTGATCTGGTCCAGCATATTGCTTCCACCCATTCTCTGGGGAACCTTCCTGGGAATCACAACTTCAGACGTAGCAAAGCGCCATTTTGGTGGACCACGGGAACAGCACGCAGGGCACAACAATACCCAGAGCACAGATAGCCAGAGAGAGCCTCCCAGGAGGACTTGAGTCCGGAGGAAGGGGGCCATGGGCCACAGCAAATTAGTTCACCAGGAGGCAGACAAGACCAAGACCTCAAAGTTCACACCATGGCATGAGGAGAGCAGAGTGAGGCAAGAGGCTCACAACCTCTGGTAAGTAAAGGAAGACAGGCTGTTACATAACAATGCTCTGCCCATGCAAGCATTGTGTGCTCGGTGATCTGGAGAGCCTGTGCTGGAAGCCCCAGGGAAGAGCAAAACGTGGGAGGCACTTGGAGAAATTAGTATGTATGTATATGTATTTGTATATGTGTACGTACATTTATATGTATGTGTATGTGTATGTATATGTATATGAATATGTATGGTAAAGCATCTTGTATCCGAATGTAAAAACATAAGTGGGAAAAGAACTTTTGGTTTTTAGAACAGGTGAAATATTTTGCCAAGTACTGTACATGGAAAGGATTGGATATTTAATTGTGTCAGAAAACAAACTATTAAGACAGTAGATGTTCCTCCATCAGGGACTTTGTGGACAGAACTTTTTGTAGATGGAGCTTTATTTGGGTATTTTTTCTTTTGTCTTTCTGGTCTTTTGCTTGTATATTAGTTTCTGAATTTGTGGTTTTGTGGTGTGTGTGTGCATGTGAGTGTATGTATGTGACCATGTACAAATGTTTCTTGTGTTTTTCCTCCATTTATATTTTTAAAATGTGGTTTATCTATTTTCTCAAGAAAGAAAAGACATGGAGTTGGGTGGACTAGGGGGTGTGGAGGATCTGGAAGGAATTTCAGAATTGGAAACCATGATCAAAATACATTGTATGAAAATATTTTTCAATAAAAAACTAAAAGAAGTAAACTAACTGGAAGTGATCCATCGAATGGAAGACTGCATATATGTCATAAAAATAAAAATTTGGGTTTTACTGTAAAGCCTAATTTTTTCATCAAATTTAAGTGATCAATTCCAGTCCTCAAAAAGCTGTAAATATATCCTTACCTGTGTATGTTCATAGCATCATCAATTCTAAGTTTATTCCAAACACTCAAAACAAAGAGCCGCCTCTAACTCAGTGACAGCTAAACTTTTCCATTGAATGGTCTTCTGCATTTAACACTAACAAATCTGTAACTTCTGCAATAGGATGGGAGACTCTCACAGAGAATGTGACTAGGGTAGGAAAGCAGACTGAAGGTTACTCTCTGTAAATGATTTCATTTTAAGAGAGCTGTGAAACAATGCTAACTGATCGATGGTATAAGTTGGTCAGAAATGTCCTCATGTGTGGTATGGTAGCATGTGGAGATACATATCTGGAGTGATAGAAAATAACAGTCAGGTACTCTCACATGATGGCCACCAAGCAAAACTCCTCATGCTGCATTTTAATGTCTGTATATGATTGCATGCTAGGTGTACTTCAAATGACTATGTCTCACAAAGTCTCTTAAGTGTAGCTTTTTTTATTACACTTCTTTCATCATTCACAAACTATCATCATCTCAGAAGGCACCTTCCTCCCCTTTTAAACATCATTTTAACACTGGATCATGTTCAACTCATTGTAGAAAATTGCTGACTTAACTCCTTCATTTCTCTCTCTTTTACTCTACTTAGTTAAGACCTGTCTTGGTTAGGGTTTCTATTGCTGTGATAAAACACAAACAAAAGCAACTTGGGGAGAAATTATTTCCTTCCACTTACAACTCTCAGGTCACACTCTATCATGGAGGGAAGTTGGGGCACAGACTCAAGCAGAACAGAAATTTGAGGCAGGAACTTAGGCAGAAGCCATGGAGGAGTGCTTCTTACTGGTTTGCATAATATTACTTGTTCAACCTTCTTTCTTATAACACCCAGGACTACTATCCCAGGGGAGGTACCACCCAGTACCTGGGCCGTCTTGTATCAATTAATAAAGAAAATGCACCATAGATGCCAACATGATGGGTGCATTTCATCAACTGAAGTTCCCTTTTCCAAAATTACTCTAGCTTGTGTCAAGTTGACATGAAACTAGCCAGCGCAATTGATCCTACGTCAGCTTGACATAAAGATACCTCACTATTCAATGAGAACTTTTTCTCTCTCATTTGTCCCCAAGATATGATGCTAATATTAATATTTCAATTAAGCCATTGATTAACTTTAAAAGTTAATTAATCTTTAAAAAGATTGGTCTCCTTAAAATAGTTAAAGCTTCTTTCAAAATTCAATTTCCATGTTATCCTTTTTATTATCCAGCATCACCGTCATACCAGAGCACCAAATAAAAACACAGCAAATGAAGAAGAAGAGAAGAGAGATTATTTTAGATGAACATAGATTCAAAAACTGTGAATAAAATACTGGCAAACTGAAGTCTGAATTTAATATTTCATTAAAAAGGTTATTCATCATGACAAAGATAGTTCCATTACAGTGATATAAGGATTTTACAGTATATATAAATCAATAGATGTAACCCATCACATTATAGATTAAAAAACAGAAATCACATGATCATCCCATTAGATGAAGAAAAGCTGTTGAAAAATCTATAATCCTTTCTTGATAAAGTCCTGGAAAGACAAGATGTGGAGGGTGCACACAGGCTGTATATAATAAAACTATAACTAATATCACACTAAGTATATAAAAACCTCAGTGTTTCAAAGATGAACACAAACAAGACAAAGGTATTCACCTGCTTCAGTCCTTTTTTAAAAAAATAATTTATTTTTTAAAAAATTATTTTACATTCTGACCACAGTTCTCCCTCCCACCCTTCCTCCTGAGCCCAAAATCACCCCCAGCCCTTGCCCAGTCCACTCCTCCTCATGTGTAAGGGCTCCCATGAGGAGTCAACAAAGCCTGACACAATAGGTTGGGGTAAGGCCAAGACCCTCTCCCATGCATTATAGCTGAATGGCATCCTATGAATGGACTCATGTACCAGGTTTGTATTGTGGTCCTATTGCCAGGAGCCCCTCAGATACCCCAACCTTTACAACTGTCTCCCACGAACAGAAGGCCTAGTTTGGTCCCCTGAAGGCTCCACACCTGTCAATCCAGAGTTCATGAGTTTCCACAAGCTTAGTTCAGCTGTCTCTGTAGATTTCTCTGTCACGATCTTGACCTCCCTTGCTCATATAATCCCTCCTCCCTCTCTTCAACTTGATTACTGGAACTTGGCCTGGTGCTTTGATGTGGATTCCTGCATCTGGCTCCATAAATTACTGGGCAAAGGCTCTATGATGATAGTTGGGGTATTTCACTCATTTTATTACAGGAAACCAGTTCTGGCATCCTTCCCACTATTGCTAGGAGTCTTAGCTGGTGTCATTCTCTAGATTCTTAGGAATTACCCTAGCATGGGTTTCTTTCTAACCCTGTAGTGGCTCCCTCTATTAAGATATTTCTAAGAACATGATTTTCTAAAAAAAGGTCTGAACAGTTGCAACACCAGTTGATGTCACAACATGGATAGGAAATCTGACAAGGATGGATGGAAAGCTACAGGTAATAAATAATTTCAGAGAAAGGGAAAATCACTCTTCTCTAAGGACTGGTCTTCCTATACCATGTGATCATGTCTAAACATATGTACATATGATCAACACTAAGTGAATTTAGCAGAGCATAAATATATACACAATGGTAATTATTATAAAAATAAACATAATATCTGTTACTATATATTTATATTTTATGCAAATAAAATATATAATAAGTATATGTATAATTATACAGGTAATTAAAAGTGATGAAAAACATGTAAGACAGATGAGGGACAAGGGAGGAGTCACCATCCTTTGAGAATTGAGCATAGTGTGGTATCCCTCTGATGTTAGGTCTTCTATACTATACAAAAAATAATGAGTCTCATCATGTTTGATCAATTCCAAGGACAGGCTCAGACAATATTACACAAAGTTTTAAATCCGCCATCTAGAAGACTCCTGTGCATGTTGATAGCTATTACTGTGTTTATAGTGGGGCATGGGTGGGAACTGATTTTAAACTAAAAGTTATTAGTGTCATGGGCTCCATGAGAAATGGTGAGTGCTTTGTTCTGTAGATCAATATCTAGGATCAGAAAGGTTCGGGAGTTCAAAGGGTCAATGTGAAAGCATTGTCTACATCCACTATCTTTCTACCACTATGAGTTTTAGAAAATCAATTCACCTCATCATATCTCTCTAGTCTCTAATAAATTCATTTTCCACACTGCAAACTCTGTGTTTTCATTAGAGTGTACCCTATTCAATAGTCTGAAGTCTTAGCTAGAACAATAAGAAAAGAGGAAGAAATAAAAGATACAAATAAGGAAATTCAAAATGTTCTTCCTTGTAGATGATATGATTCTATACACAAGAAGCCTAAAGATAAAGAAACCCTTAGAGCTGATAAATTCTTCTAGCAGAGTATGAAAATTCAAAATGAACACACAAAAAATCAGGAGATTCCCTATATACCCATGGTAAACATACTGAAAATTAAATCAAATGTTCTCTTTCATAATAGGTACATACACAATAAATGAATAATTGCCTTGAGCCTTTCATACTTGTCTCTCCACATTATTCTTTATCTTAATGCAACCTACTTGCAGGGCATCCTCATCATTGTGTGAACAGGATCCCCTTTGCCCATCAGTCTTTTCTCCTAGATCACCTCTATTCCTTTCTGCCACCCACTGACCTGCAGAAGCACTCTCTATTAGGCAACCCACAGCTAACATGCTTTCCTAAAATCCAGAGAGGGCAACAGGAACCAAGTGGAACACCAACTCAACAAAGATAAGACCAGAAGTAACTCTTAGAATCACCTCAATCATCCTAAATTCAGATGCCTAAACACAAGCAAAGAAACACAAATATTAACACTCAAGACAATAATATACCAGAGTAGATCCTTAGAAATGCAATACAGCTGAAGTGTAAGACAAAGACTTCAAAATAGCAGTTATGAACATGTCAAGAACCTTAAAGAGAATATGAATAAATTCTTTAATGAGGTCTGTGAGAACACAAAGAAGGGATGAAATAATGAAAATATTCCAAACTGTTAAGGTAGAAATAGAATCACTAAGGAAAAGCCAAACTGAGATAAGACTGGGAAAAAACTAGGAAGTCAAATAATAAGCTGAGAGGTAAACCTCACCAACAGATTACAAGACATGCAAGAGATACTTTTGGGCATTGGTGGCAAACGAACACATGGAT